TGGAGAATTGTCTTTCTTTCTTTCTTTCTTTCATTCTTTCTTTCTTTCTTTATTTCTTTCTTTCTTTCTTTCTTTCATTCTTTCTTTCTTTCTTTATTTCTTTCTTTCTTTCTTTCTTCTCCTTGCAGACTACTGTTATCGAGGCGTACCCACTTCTATTAAATGGAACGCAGACGCCCCCTGCTGGATGGGCTGGTGACCAACAGGACCGTCGTTGCTAGGCAATGTAAAACTTTCTCTGATTGGCTAAATTCAAGCAGCGAAACCAATCAGCGCTTGTTTTATAGATACTTGGCTTCCCGCATAAGCGTCCGGATACGACCGGTGTTAAATCAGTTACTCTGTAAATTTAAGTTAGCTTTTTGTTTTTGTACAGTTTTTAAAGAGCAGAAGACTTATTTTATTTACATTCTAGGTACAGACTTTGGTGTTTTAAAGCAGTTTTGCGATCGGTCTGTAAAGTCGCTGTAAAGAAAAGCTTTGAGCTCAATATATTGAGGTAAAAGTGTTTTCATCATGATTAAATTCAACTTCAGACGGGATAAAGACAAGGAATTCGTAAGTTTGATTAGATTTTACACTTTTTAAAGCCCTGCCGGTAGTTCTGCTGCTTTGTCTGTAGCTAGCAAAGCCTCAGTCCCTGATTAGCCTATTTAATGTTTTTAGCTAAAACTGACTTTTTCTCCACATATTAAAACATTTCTTTTTAACAGTTGCTAAAATACCTCCATAATTTGATCACATGTAGTCAGTATCACTTCAATGTGTTTAGCTGGGATGATATTCAGTAGCAACACAAAGTAATACATTAAAATATGTCTAATATAATCTTCAGTGATTGTTTTGCAAATAAAAAAATGGAGTCAGAGCAGCTTTTTTATTGCAGGCATGTTTTAACATGCTTAGTTAAACTGCTCACTTATTTATTGATCTATCTAGTTGATTTTTCTATCTAAAAATAGCAAATAGCAGGTAGTGTCTTTCAAATATTCATAGGATTTAAATAGATTCCCTTTCATTTCTGTTTATTTGTTCCCTTTATTATTTGTGGATTTAAAGAATCCACTTTATTATTTTATATATTTTTCCTATTTGTTTCTCTTCTTTCATAAAGCCAAGATTATTGTAATTCACAACTTATTGTTTAATTTCCTATTTGTTTAATAAAAAATAGAAAAAGAAATCACCTGAGCTGTGGATCTTTACAACTCCTCCAAAGTTACCAGGTGCCTCTTGGCTGCTTCACTGATTTTAATAAAATACCTCATTTTTAAAGATGTTCTTAACTTTATCGCCTGCATTTCTTGGTCTTCATGACATTCAAACATTTAAGGCCTTCGCCTTAAATGTTTGAGTTCTTTTCACTAACACTGGACGTCCACTTATTTTTAAAATACTTTTAGGGTAATCAGAGTAAACTGGGAAAAATCAAAATCTGTATAAGTTGTTTTTTCTCAAAATAAGTGCATTTGTTCTTGGATTGAGGAGGTAAAAGAGACATTTTGCCAATCGAACAAGACAATTTACATTTAAAATAAGAAAACACAATTACATTGCCTAATTTCAAGTGCATATTATCTAATTATCTTGTTTTAAGAGTAAAAATACTGATTCCATTAGCAAACTGTCTCAATTACCTACTCAAATTAAGGGTAAATACTCTTAATTTAAGAAAATTTTACTTATTTCTAGATAATTTTTCCAGTGTAGCTGGACCATATTTGACTTATTATTATTAGCCGAGGTTTAAAACTGTGTTATTTCACCTCCGCTTCACCATTCGCTGGAAATTTGTGTTGCTTTACACAGAAAATCCCACTAAAAACATTGAAGTTTCTGTTTGCTACATGTCATGAAATCCATGCGTTCTACTGCAAGGCATGTTGGTCTTTTTCCATCTGCATCCCTTGTTCCACACAGCAAAAATGATTTAGAAATAAGTAAGAATTTCTTAAATTAAGTGTATTTATCCTTATTTTAAGTAGGTAAATGAGATAGTTTGCCAATCGAATGAGTATTTTTACCCTTAAAATAAGATAATTAGATGGTATTCACTTGAAATACGACAATGCAATTGTGTTTTCTTATTTTAAATCTACATTGTCTTGTTCCATTGGCAAAATGTCTCTTTTACCTCCTCAATTTAAGAACAAATGCACTTATTTAAAGAAAAGATGACTTATCTAGATTTTGATTTTTTTTCTAGTGCATTAAAATGGCATTTATCATTTCATTGACAATCATTCCACCTCTGTGCATAAGAGTCGTTGATTTAGTTGTTTGAGACAGACTGACCCTGGAAGCTCTCCCTCTGTTGATCTGTTGTGTAGAAGCACATAGCTCACGGTTTGATTCCTGCCGCCTCCATCGCTCCTAGAGCCGCTGTGCCTCGTACTCCTCCCCCACAAAGCCCAGACCCCTCACCTGAGAGACATAGGTACCTGCTGACACTCTCCCTTTGTTACCTGCAACATCCTTTCACATTTCACACCATATTCTATCATTTAAGCTTCTTTTTTCCCCCCTTTTTTAAAAAAATAAAAAAGTTTTTCAGTTTTGCATGATTTGCATATTGCATGAAGTGTTAAATATTTGGCATTATTACTATATTGTAATTAAAACGCTTAATATAAGCTCTCATTGATGTTATCAAGATCTTGCATAAGATTTGGTCAAATCAGTACAGAAAAAGCTCAGCTAACAGAAAATCTACCTTCTCCTGTGGTAATCTTAGTCCTGAGAAAGAAATCTCATTGACATCTTGCAGGATAAGCTGAAGAACGTTGTCATTAACTCTAAAATATACAGTAGATATAACAAGGATGTGATAAACTCCCATATTTACCGACTCTGCCTGTTTTTTCTACCTAAAGCTTGTGCTCACGTCCACAGATCTGCTTTAGCTGCAGCTATTCTGTCTTCCTCACTCACTGGACAGACGTGGGCCATCCCGCCGGCTCGTCCAAGGTCCTTCTCTGAGACGGATCGTTCAGAATCCTTCGTATCTGAGCCGAACTTCAGCACCGCACTTTACACCAGGTAGAGACCTTAGACTAAGAAATGCTCCTTTCAGAGTCAATCTGTCACTAAAACCACTAAAAGCTTCCTGAGACTCTAAAATGGTCACACCTGGACTGCAAGGAAGAAACTTTTACTTGTAAAAGGTTTTCTCCTCTGTTAAACAGCTAACTTTCTTCTACCATAACCTTACACTCAACAGAGACAGATGGTCGGATGATTTAGCCAGCCGGCCTCGCCTGTCGTCCCCAGAGCACTCTGAGGGGGAGCTGGAAGATGGAGAAGAGGAGGCTGATAACCAAGAGGATGCAGAGGGACATATCTACCAAACTCTGGACAGACAGGAGGATATTAGGGAGTCAGAAACGGCTAATGACCCTCCTCTAGAAGCAACGGTATGGAAGCACCAAATGATGTTGGGCAATATTTTTATCTACGTGTGTTTACTCTGTTAAATACTGATCAGTATGTCTTGGAGCGAAATGAAAATGAATCAAAGAGGGGAAAAAATTACAGCATTACAGTCAAACAAGACAAAATTCTCTTTAACTTTAAATCATATCCAAGAAGGCCGATGTAGCATCTGTCCATCTGTTAGATGTGCCTGGTTTATAGCCTCGTGAGACCATCCTGATCTCGCGAGCTTTCAAGGTTTC